ACAATGAAGATGACAAGTTCGTCTTCATTGTCGAGGGCAAGGACAGTCCTGTGCTCTTAGCTGGCGGTGTGGTCTTTGGCAGTCTTGTAAGTTAATTAGGCTTGATGTTTCTTCACAAGAATGGCCATGTTGTCATCTGCAGCCGCCTCACAACATACAATTAATGTAAGCATGTGTGGCATACATTGCACCTACAATGCAGTGCAACCATGAACTGCTTGAAATTAATGTCTTTGCCTGCTGGATTATAGATTTTATGCTACTGCTAATAATATAATAATCATGTTTCTTTTCATACATATGTATGGCAGTCCGGAGACGTGTAACTCGTCAGGCTCGGTAGCTACGGGGCAGTTGTCTGGACAGGTTACTCGCCAGCTAGAAGCTTGGTAAATGTGCAACCTTGAAAGTGTCATAATTAGGCACAGATATGCGCGCTGAGTGTGTGAAATGTTATGACGAGGTTAGTTAACATGTTTGCCATCAAATATAAGTGTAGGGAGGCATTATTTGTCCTTACGATTTGCTCTCTACCTACGGCCATTTGGCAGTCCAGAGACGTGTAGCGCCCAAGGCTCAGCAGCTACGGGACAGTTGTCTGGACGAGGTTACTTTTGACGTGCAGCCCCGAAAGCACATTGGGAAGCATGAATATAGCCGGTGAATTTATCATAAGTGAAATTTAGGTTACTTAGGGTGTTTGCCACTTGTATTGGTGCTCCGATGTAACATGACCATTGGTAGTCATGGTCATGGCCCAAAGGAACGCCGATTGTTCCAGCACAAAGAAGAATATAGTTGATGAACAAATAAGTACATAGGCAAGGTTACCCGAGGCCGACGTCGATCGATCTGGTCGACCAGGTCCGCCAATGTAGTGGGTCCATGCCACAATATCCGAAAGTCGGCTGAAATCATTTAAAACCTTGTCAGGTTTACTGAACAAAATTACGACCGACGAGATTTCCATGCCATTGGCTGACATAACCGCTCATGTACGGCTTTGGCTATTATAGCTTCAATGTCCAATGTCCCAATGTTTTTATGTAGGCAGGTAGTGGTGGGCCACATCTGTGCCACGGTTGTTTTTCCTTGTGGATTCGTTACCCGTTGCCCTCTTTCTTGTTCCTGATGCGATGGAGGGTGGCTGGGGCTGGTTGGGGGAGGGGGGCGTGTATGTTTCGCCTCCGTCATTGACGTGCCTGCCCTAATTGTCATGTTCCCATCCATGTGCTGCACGTGCAGCAGGCCTCGGAAGATGGGGCCGACGCCCAGCCGGGAATGGAGGTAAGATGGGGGCGAGGGTCGGGGCTCTTATGTGTTTTACATGGGGCATCAAAACGCTGTCGTACTCCGATATGGCTATCGGAGTACGGCAGATTTGTTTGATGTAGGCAGGTAGTGGTGGGCCACATCTGTGCCACGGTTGTGTGTTTCGTTGTGGAATCGTTACCCGTTGCCCTCTTTCTTGTTCCTGATGCTATGGAGGGTGGCTGGGGCTGGTTGGTCCGTCATTGACGTGCCTGCCCTAATTGTCATGTTCCCATCCATGTGCTGCACGTGCAGCAGGCCTCGGAAGATGGGGCCGACGCCCAGCCGGGAATGGAGGTAAGATGGGGGGGAGGGTCGGGGCTCTTATGTGTTTTACATGGGGCATCAAAACGCTGTCGTACTCCGATATGGCTATCGGAGTACGGCAGATTTGTTTGATGTAGGCAGGTAGTGGTGGGCCACATCTGTGCCACGGTTGTGTGTTTCGTTGTGGATTCGTTACCCGTTGCCCTCTTTCTTGTTCCTGATGCTATGGAGGGTGGCTGGGGCTGGTTGGGGAGGGGGGCGTGAATGTTTCGGGGGGGAGGGTCGGGGCTCGTATGTGTTTTACGTGGGGCATCAAAACGCTGTCGTACTTCGATATGGCTATCGGAGTACGGCAGATTTGTTTGATGTAGGCAGGTAGTGGTGGGCCACATCTGTGCCACGCTTGTGTGTTTCGTTGTGGAATCGTTACCCGTTGCCCTCTATCTTGTTCCTGATGCTATGGAGGGTGGCTGAGGC